CATTCTTCTCCTCCAGTTGACCATTTGCCCTCGAACAAACGTTTGTTCGCATCATCTGTCAGCAATTTATTTACGAAGCGTCATCATTTGGAATAGGTGATGGCATTTAACACGAAATCTCGTTATATTCGAAATTTAAAAGTAATTATCAACGTGCTAGAAAGTATGACAGCCAAAAGTCAATGTACACGTTCTCAAGAAATAATATCCTCCACACCATTTTTTTAAACCTTCGTCAGAAGCAACTGAGATTAGTCTAGCTTATGCGAGTTATTCCCAATTTTCTTCTTTCAGATATTGTACTATAATATACGTCGCGTCGTGCAACAACCAAATGTACACGTTCGTTATAATTATGCGTCGACAAATTATACAAAAAAAAAAAAAGAAGAAAATCCGAGTTGCTGGCTATCTTATCGAGCGTTACACAATATTTCCATCTAAAGACCGAATCGGTATTACGGTATTTTTAGGTTGCTATTCGATTACGTTTGATGAGACCGTAAATGGTGCGAATACCGGTATGATGCTATCGAAACGATGTTAAATCGGCAGATATATTTCAGTATAATACCGGTAAATAAAATATAAATATATTAGAAAAGGAAAAGGAGACAATGATTAAATGTTTTCATAAAGCTGCCGATAGTAAATTTGATGACGCTTAACACACGTATCCTTTATTATTTCTAATACTAATTCATCGTTGTATCTCCGTACAATCGATATTCTTACTTAATTTTAAAAGATGACCGATTTCTCGATACGATTTTTTCCTTTCTCTCGGTGAAGAATGACCAATTGTCGTACGTCGATAAATCGAAAGATGAGTTGAAACAACGATTAATCGTAGAACGGAAGAATATTCCGCTAAATTGCTTGAAAAAAAATTACTGAAAATATGCCTAAGCATATTATTGAAGTTAAGGGCTACCTAACAAAATATTAATTACTGTTTATGTTGACAATTTTCAAGTTCAAATATTGTAGCTCTTCAAACGTCCGAATATTCTTGCCACGCTACATTTCCACATAGTTTAGTTTATTGTTTGACATTAAGGAAAGTATGTGCAATAAATAAAATAAAATTTACGTTACTATAAGCTATAACGAACGTTCTATTATATTATTAAAAAATTAATCCAGATTTACTATTATGAGCAATCGAAATCCACGACAGTATTTTGAATGGCACGATGTCCGAATATTAATAAGAGTCGCTGTACGTAGAAAAATGAAAAATGTGTTTTCGTCAGTAAAGCGGTACCGTACCGGTATATATTTCGGTATTTTTACCGTTGTGGGCATGAAATACCGATAAAATACGTATGAAAAATACCGACACGACCGTCTTATACCGGTATTGAAACCGATTTCCCAAATAGCGGTTACATTACGATAACGATGGGAGCAAATACCGGTATAATACCTAAACCTCGCAATATTTCGATTTCAGTCTTCGAATATAATACCTAAATCTCGAAATATTTCGGTTTTCAGTCTCTGTTTCCATCGATCGTTGCACCGTGACGATGATCGATCCCCTTCGAGACAAGTAAGACGATTCGCTACACGTTTCCCGAAGACGTTCGGCTCCGATACACCGAGGAAGGCTCTCCGATCCTGTCCCGGGGAGGCACAAAGACCAGGAAGCGAGGCGACGATGAATTATAGAGGCCCGGCGAACAGGGAGCACGTCGCTCCTCCGGCACAGATCGATATCCACTCCACGAACTTGCCAATGTGTACCAAGAATCGATAACGGCCATGCATTATCGATGCGTCTTCCGGTAGGAACGTCCGACGTGCCCCTCAAGCTCGTGTATATCCCATTTGCCAAAAGGTAGAAACGGATAAACCGAAGATAACTTCGTCCAAGCGATATGCCATCGCGGAGAGACAACGGCGAAGTGGAAACTTTTACGAGAGAGAAAGAGAGAGAGAGAGAGAGAGAGAGAGAGAGAGAGAGAGAGAGGGATTAAACGTTTGCAACTGCAGTAATCAAGCTCGCGAGTGTTTCATTGATGTTGCCCCTCGACAAACTTATCCTGTTGCCAACTATCATTTGCAGCAGCAATTTATTTGAGACGAGATATCGCTTCAACTAAAAACGACACAGCGTTGGAAATAATCATTCAAATGGCACTTAACACGATCTGTATCTTTCCAACATATTTGCGATGTCGTTTAAACTTGAAGCAATCATCAACGTGCGTTGCGGGTTTGCTAGAACATATGCATGATGTTGTGATATACAAAAGTAAATGACACGTATAATGTGTGCTTTGTTATGGTATATAAGAGTTAATGCATTCAGTTTCAATCTCTGGAAAAGTCACATTCTCCATTATTTTTTTTTTTTTAAACTTTCGTGAGAAACGATAGGAAGGCTCTAGTTTAGGCGAATCAGTCACAAATTATGTGAATTATGTATGCGAGCGTCAACTGCCTCAGAACTTCCTTTCTTTTGTTCCCCTTTATTGTAGGCGTCTGTTCGGTTATTATAATATTACACGTTTGTTGTAATTATCAGCAAATTATAAAAAAGAGGAAATCCCAACTGTCTTGGCTAGATTTAAGTACAACGTCCCCTCAGAAGGGGACGTTGAGTCGAGTGCAAAGGGTTAATTATCATCAGACTTTATATTATATTCTTCTAGATCATAAAATCCACAGGTTTCCCCTTTCAATTTTGTTGAAATTAACGTTCACAATACAATTATACACAATAATAATAAATTTCAAACGTACCTTGACGCCGTACGTCAAATTACGATCGAAATTATGTCACTCACGAGGTGATCTAATAACTGCAACGTGACAATCTCCGAAAAGCAAGAAGAAAAGAAAAAAAAAAAAAAAAAAA